CAAACTTCTAATGTAAATTCCAAGAGGGATTTGAAGCAAACCTTTGATAGATACATAAGCTGAGGTCTCGTATATTCATTGGTTTACACTTTAATTATCCCTTGGTAGTTGGAATTCGATATAAGAGTAGGCCATAGTGCCACTGCCCGGCCAAAATTTCCCTCATAGCATAATGTCTCGCGTATGTCCGCCTTCATTACCCCATTCGGAGCAGAACAGTAGAATGTTAAACCACGTTTCATTTATTTGGGGTATTTAAATCATGAATTAGAAATAATTCTATATCATTTACCGTTTTTCCATTGCTGCCTACAGCTGTATCATAAGCAAATAATCATTATATGTTGTCAGTGTATTTCGAATATAATTTATATAGTTTAAGAAGAGAAATGGTCCCAATACGAAACCCTGAGGGATGCCTGGCATTAGAGTTGTTTCATGTGATGGTGACCGCCTGTTTCGGTGTACTTAAGACACTGATCATCAATACCGTAGCTTTTTTAGTTTATGTATTCGGCCTCAGTGATAAAATCTATCAAAGATTGTGGTCCTCAAACGCAGTGACAATTTCAAGAAGTTGATGACATGTTCAGTGATGTGGTCTGAAGAAGGTTTTTGGATTGAAAGAAGTTGTATAGATGTTTGAATATTATACGTTCGAGAAGTTTTCGAACGGTGCTTAATAGAGAGATTTGTCTATAGTTTGATGGAACCCATGGGTTGCCCTTTTTGAAGATGGGGATTACATTTTATATCCTCTAGTGAGCAGGACATATTCCCTCATGGATTGACTTAAAATTGAAAAGAATGGTCAAGGGGGAAATTGAATTAATAGTTTAAAGATACATTATGGGAGATTAGATCATGAGTTAGCAGTTCTCACTATAATAGTTAAAAATAGATAATGTAAAGGGAATTTGCTGAACATTTCAGTCAAATTGACCCACTCTGAACCGAGAATTTAGAGATTGAATTTTTGGCCAAGTCTCGATCATCATTACTAAAGTCGGTACGATGAAAAAAAAACATAGTCTCGATTATCCATTTTTTATTTAATCATCAATGCGCGTTGAGCAGCAGATCGGATTCAAATCCAGTAAATATCGCGGGCTAGCGATGACATTTTGAGATCATGTGATATCAATGATGTCGACGATTGACTTATAAAAATGAATCGCCCGACAGGATACGCTGGTCAGAGGCACACGAGCGAATTTGATCGCCGGCGAAAAATATTCGGCCCAAAATATCTAACATGAACGTCGCGAAGGGGCACCTGGGCGTATTTTTCTAGCGATTTTAAAAATCGCCGCGACCGTGCGAAAACAAAGGCTAAGCTCGTCTGTCTCGACTTAAAAGTGCGTTGTATGTTGACAAGTAACGGCTTCAATTCATATAATGAGATGATTCTAAAACGATTTTTAGCATTATTATTATGATTTTTTTTTCATTTAAAACTGCTGCTTATCGACTATAAATGAAAAATCTAAATATTTACCCAAATCACTCAATCAGATGTTATTTTCCGTTCCGTTAATGTCGATGACAACATTTAAAATAATGAACTGGTGTTTAATATGGTCGAATGGCTTAACGTCAAGTAGCGTGGTTTCGATTCCGTGCTTGTGCCTAACAAGGAGTAGGATCGACTGTCCAACCTCGTGGGTTTTCTTCTGGTCTTCCGGTTTCCTCCCACTGCTAGCGAATTATTGAAATAAAATTGAACCATATTGTTACCCGAAATGACCTAGTTTGTGTCGAGTGGACGTTAAACCCCAATCCTCCCTCTCTATACTCCTAATTGTCTTCTCTGCTTAAACCTGTCAATACAGGTTTAGTAAATATGGATTACAATAGTTACCTCTACAGGTATATATATGTGAGAGAGAGAGGAATGGGGTTTAACGTCCACTCAACACAAACTAGGTCATTTCGGGACTAACACATGGTTCAATTTTATTTCAATAATTCGCTTGCGCGTAGGGGTCTTTAGCAGTGGGAGGAAACCGGGGGACCCGGAGAAAACCCACGAGGTTGGACAGGCGACCAACATCTAGAGGTTGCTACGCTACTTTGCAATTTCTGAAATTTGCCGTAGACATCATAGGTGTACGAGCCAGGGTGCCACCCCTCCCCCCACACACATACCTAACTAACTATCGGGCAATCTGACTTTTCGGGCAGAAGTGAAAAGTGAAAAATAAAGTGCCAAAATCCAATAAAACACTAATTTTACTCTACTTTTAATTGAATATCACGAATTTGTACTGAACTGATTTATGGATTAAAACATTTTTTCTTGAGCCACTATACTTTGTGCGACATATTTCCGGGCATCGATTATTAATTATGAATGCAGTTGCAAGTCTGATTCGATGGTTGGAATATAATAACACTAGACCAACGAACACCAAGCTATTTAAGCTTGGTTATAATCGATTATTAATAATGAATGCATTTGCAACAGTCTGATTGGATGGTTGGAATTCAGGACGACATACGAGTGGGATTTTGGTTACAAAACCATTGGACAACTTTGGAGTTGCTTAACTCACGGGCTAGAATAGCAGACCAACGCATTTGCGACGGTTTAATTCTCAAAAATTTCTCCCAGAAGGCGAGGCCGCTATACCCCACTACGATTGATTAGTTCTTTAAGATCCAGGTCATCCACCTATAAGATAGTCAATATAGGATCACATTAAAGTTGCTGGAATAGCAGAAAAACATGTTTACGGCAGTTAAATGTTCAAAATAGTGTCCCGACGGTACCATTTCAGTGGACTGTAAACGATTGATTGGAATTTCAGTCGGTCATCTTAATTAGGCTATATTAGACCACTTTGAAGTTGCTTTATTCACGGGCTACAATAGCAGGAAACACGTTTGCGGCCGTCAAAGTTCCCAAAATTTTTTGGGTGGGGGGGGGACTCTACACGGTAGAAGACCAGTGCCTCCGCCTGTAATCCGAATTTTGTTCGGACAACTCGGGTTCTGCCCCACCACCTAACGGTCATCGAACCCGTACGCCCATGGGCATTATTCCGCATGTGATGGATGATAACCTGAGTTCAATTCCAGCATCATGGTTAATAACTGGAACAGTTAGTCCGTCTATTTGTTGTATAGGTGACCAATGTTTTCTAGTCAGCATCATGGTTAATGACTGTTACACATAGTTCAATAATTTGCTTGCAGTGGGAGGATCCGGCAAAACCCCCAGTACCAGTAGTTGGACAGCGAACCCTATTCCTTGTGACATACAAGCTGGAAACCACGCCATTTCATAGAACACTTTTTTAAAATACTGAATTCATATGGTGAAAATAAACCTTTCTGAAAAGGTATTTTTATATATTGCTGCCTTGTCAACAGTATGTTAATCTTAATAACTGGAATCACAAGAATAATCTTTTTGTCTATAAAATATCACCATAAGGCAAAAATAAATTATAATTTTGGGGCAGCTGGTGACAAAGGTTGTGTGAGTTTTCAAAAATAATTCGAAGGATAATGGATTTCATGTAAATTGGTCAAATTCATGTTGACACCAACACATGTGGGTAACCCCATCTGAATACCATGTTGTTCCCAGTTATACAAAAAAAACTGGGTTAGTAGGATTATTCCCAGCATGGATTCAATATTGACCTCAAATTGGCACATTAAGGTCGGGTCATAAATATGATTTAGTTGTTCTCTGTAATATCATTATATATGGCAGTTAAGTCTTTTTGCCTATATAGTGTTGTGTTCGAAGATCATATAGGTCCAGATATGGGAGCCTTATGGTATAGCCGTTGCCCACATCCCATTTTCTCGTCATTATATGGTTTCCAAACCTGTAAATTATCAATTGTGAATATAGACTAGTACAGAAAGTTACACCTCATTTCATTTATACGGTATATGCAAACTACAGTGTTATAATTTTCTATATAAATCCAACAGACAACAGCCTAGGGCAATAAATAAACGGATAAAAGCTACACGTTGATTTAATTATTTATAAACTAGCAGGATACCCGGCTTCGCTCGGGGGTCATAACTCCGAAACCGGAAGTGGTAGACTAACGCCACCTGGCCTATGTTACTCCCCGGTCCGAGCTACCCCTATACCCCAAATTTCAGACTCGGGGCAGATGTAGCCGCCAACCCCGAACAGACAGACTTCGCTCGGGGGTCATAACTTCGAAACCGAAAGTGGTAGACTAACGCCACCTGGCCTATGTTACTCCCCGGTCCGAGCATCCCCTATACCCCAAATTTCAGACTCGGGGCAGACTTAGTGTAGCCGCCAACCCCGAACAGACCGGCTTCGCTCGGGGGTCATAACTCCGAAACCGGAAGTGGTAGACTAACGCCACTTGGCCTATGTTACTCCCCGGTCCGAGCTACCCCTATACCCCAAATTTCAGACTCGGGGCAGATGTAGCCGCCAACCCCGAACAGACAGACTTCGCTCGGGGGTCATAACTCCGAAACCGGAAGTGGTAGACTAACGCCACCTGACCTATGTTACTCCCCGGTCCGAGCTACCCCTATACCCCAAATTTCAGACTCGGGGCAGACCTAGTGTAGCCGCCAACCCCGAACAGACAGACAGACAGACAGACAAACGACAGTCACAAATATATATATAGATACGTTTTGTTCTGGAAGATCCGTCTTCATTTTCCTAGTCAGAGAACAGTAAAATTTTAAACCCGGTTTCATTTCTGTTCCGGAAGATAATTATATTTTGTTCTTTACAATTTTTCGATTGTTGGTCGAATTTGAAAGTCTGTTAAATTATTCTATAGATATTAAGTATATAAAACAAATCTATATAAATAATGCATATTTTATATTCATTACATGGTGTTTATTTACAGACCTTGTTTTCAATTGATTATTGAATTCCCAGATGTGCATAGATGCTCTGTTGGAATTAGGTATTCAAAGCAAACAAATATTCTTTTGTAAGTATCACAAGTATCAGTTCTATTTAGCATACTTGTATTACAATCAACCACATCGTTCTCTGTGATACACTCGAAGAAGAAAGGTGGACATGGAGACGCCCTGGACGGGAATAGGCGTTCTTCTTTTAATTGAAGGTAAATACCCCAAAATAAATTTCTGATTTCTATTTAAGTAGTTGATAGGGTACCCTATGTGTATGTCTATTGTCTATATTGTATAACAATTGTTTTCTGTTGAGTGAAGTGCCTTTGATCTATTGTGTTTATTTTCTATTGTTTGAACGGGCTATTTTGCTCTTTTGTGGTCACTGGATTGGTTATTGTTTGAACTGCTATTGTTATGAATAATATGTCTATTTTTGGAGAGTTCGGTTGTTTGACCACCTGTTTAAAAGGTTAACGTCGTGTTGACTATGGATATTAGCAGACGACATATTTGGTTCGATGCATCTCGCGTGGAGGCAACTAGCCGCTCTATGGTCCGAAAGAATTAAAACTAGTATTCATGTTTTATAGGTATATAAGAATATTGACTTTGAAAAAAAAAAAAAAAATTAAATTTTGACTCTAAAAGGAAATGTAAATATTTAAATGTTATAATATTAAATTGTATAAATTTTTATCCGTTAATGCGTTAAATTTGTCTCGTGGTTTCTAAAATACGTATATAGAATTATGAAATCATTAAGTCATAAAATTACAAGATATATATTAATCTAAAACGCTTGGAGAAATACAGACATAGGTTTTATTTATTTTTTATTAAAATTATTACAGGACCTGAATATCTTTTTGTTCTCTGAACAACTGAATACGAATGATGGGTAAATATCTATTGAGTTGGAGGTTAGCTGTTATGGAATCCTTGTCCGTTGAGTTATTTGACCTGTTTATCTGTAGGTTGGGCCTTATAGAATGTTTGTCTTCAATTGACCGTCACGTGTTAGCTACCGGCTTAGTTTGTCTTGATATGGAGTCTAATATGAACAGTTTTTTTTTCGCACACAATTGTTTGTGAACAGTCTACAGGTCACAATTTTTATCCGATTTCAATGAAACTTGAATAAGGTTTATCACCCTCAGATCTCGGTTCCTGTCGATATTGGCATGTATCGGACTGTAACTTCATGGATTATGACCCCTGATTGTACGAAAAATCACGTTTTTAGCTTGTGAACACTGTAGAGGTCACAATTTTTATCCGATTTGGTTTAAACTTGAAACGTATGCTTATAACCCACAGATCTCAGTTCCTGTCAATATTCGTGCATATCGGAACGTAACTTCCTGAATTATGGCCCCTGATTGTACGAAAAACCTATATTTCAAGTTTCGTCAAAATCGGATAAGAATTGTGACCTGTAGAGTGTCCACAAACAATTGTGGACGGACAGGGGCGACGACAATATACGTCCACATGAAAATGTGGGCGTATAAAAATATTAAGAGTGAAAATGTCGTATTTTCTTTTGTGAACGCTGTCGTCAAGAAAGCATTACACATGACGTTTTACATTTTCTTTTCGTTTATTTCAGTTTGTTTTAGTTTACGGGTGTTTACTTCTACCAGGTTGGACGGAGCTTTTCCATTGGCAAGAAAGGGACTGACCGTTACAAATATCACACAATTAAGATTTAAACTAAAAGCCTGTGGTCCTGGTCATTTAATCCTCCAGAAAGACGACGTGGTGGATTTCAATACTTACGGGAGTTGGACATTTGTGGTAGGATCAGACGAAAACGCAAGGGCTGAAATTAGACCAGCACTTTTTGGTGCAAACTATGGCAGTCACTATGAAGTTCTCTTGGACTGTAATGAGTTTCGGCCATTTTGGATCCGTTGGAAAGAAGGATTGTTAGAGCTAGGAAAAGGCAACGAATTTGGTACTGACAGGATATCTTTTCATACAATCTCTCCTGTTGGATTCAACTATGCTTTCTTATTAACTGGATGGGAAGAAATTGGCTGCTGGGATATAGGTAAGAAATGAAATGAAATGAAATGGGGTTTAACATCCTACTGTTCCGCTCCTAACCTGGGCTAATGAAGACGGGCATACGCCATACAGTGTGCTATGAGGTAAATTTTGCCCAAGCAGCGGCGCTACGGCCTACTCTTATATCGAATTCCAACTGCCAAGGGATCTTTTACGTGCACGCTAATGTGTACAAGGGACCTCGGTTTTTCGTTCCAATTCAGTGGAATTGGTATCCGACCACTCGTCATTTTGTAGTTTCAGTTCCAGGTTCGCGGCAAAAAGTTCATCTCCGACACTTTTTGTTGCATGCCTATGATGCTATATGCAATGTGATATAAACAAAAAGTTATAATTATCTTTTATTGAATCACGAACGGAAATCACCGAAGTGAGCTGAATTCATGAACTGAATGATTCAGCTTTTGCATAAGTTTACACAGAAACTGTTTGTCATATACCTGATATTGTTAATGTACAATTTCAAGATATATTGGTTAAATGTCTTAAACCTGTTTTCATTGATTCCATTTCATTATTGTTGTTTATTTGATATTTTTGTGCTATAGTTTTTATTGATATTATATTTGTCCCAGTGAATAGAATCTTATTTATTAACATATCTTAGATATTTGTCAGGGGGGGGGGGGGGGATGCGCAGTCTCTCTCATTCAGACAAATATTCTACGAATATTAGTGTTGACGAGTTACCAACATTTGAGAATAACTTGGTCACTAACTAGATTACTCGGTCTTTTACATTATCATGAACAGGATAAGGGAGCTAACTAGCCCTAAAACAAGGTATCGATGCCCATAACCCATATTTATTTTAAAATGTCTCTCTTCACGGACCATATCTGTGTTTTTTGATAATCTCAATTCGTCGTCAACATTCATGTGTGTTTATAATAATACATGAACTATGGGATTTATTTCGACAAGGGGCGCAACTCATACTTAATTGACTTTAGCTTAAAAGTTCCATTGGCCATACGTAATCGGGATTTGGTTCCTTTATGTGATTGATTATGCACTAAATGTTGACAACTGACTTAGACGTCGGACTTGGAGATTCTGGGTGGCAGAGGCTTTAGTAAAGTAGGTCACATCGCAACCCATCGTGTCGGTCGTAACGTCCTGCTTCCACCTTGGGGGATATCGCAGACAATGCCACGCCCATCTCGTTGCTTTATTTATGTAAATGACATGGTGTCGGGCTTAACATCCACTTCCACCAAGGGTGATATCGCAGAAAATGCAACGCCCCTCTCGTTGCTTTATGGTAAATAAACAATCTTTATCTTGCAGACACTGGGTTGGCGACGTTGGCTTCTGAATGGAAGAAGTTGTCAGGAAACAAGACAATCCAAGGTTCGTGGGTGTTGAGTTACCATAATAGAAGCCTGATAGAATGTAATCTTAAATGTGCAACACCTAATGAAGATTTACCATGTGGATGTGTGGAGTATAGTTATAATAAGTTAACTAAACAATGTTTAGTTGTTGATGAGAGTGATGACGTCACCATGGTGGATGAAGCAGGCTGGAAAACATGGAACCTAGTGTAAATAAATCTTATGTGACGTGGTTTCCCTATTTAAGTCAAGAACTTGCTATCCGTCCCTATTTAAAATTCCAGAAGCCAATACCGGTGCAATATTAAGATCTACCATGTCCTGTGTAGAATAGTAATTAAAGTGGGATTCCGTCGAAGTTCATAGTTTTTCTAGTTAAATGTCAGTCTATCTAATTACTCTAATCTCTACAAGTGTTTATCTATGTAAATAGTATGGTTCGAGAAAGTAAGACTAAAATGTTTGCAAATCATGACACTGTGGATCTGACATATTTTGAAATAATTTATCTTTCCCGTTGGATTGAATTATTCTGTATTTAGTATACTTTGAATACCTCGAGATATCCCTCTCGAACTCAATTAAAATAATATCGATGAGATTGTGAATCGCCAGTGAATCTGGATTGAAATGAAGCTTCACACTACGCCTGTTCCGTCGCTGATATCATGCTACTATCGACCACTAATCATAACTGAAACACGCTAACGCCCGCCAAAGATATTACATTGATAAATGAAATTGATTAATATTTGAACTCAATCAAATAAAGTTACACACTTTCGTATATTTCGTTGCTGTAAGGTATGAAATCTCTGGTTCAGATTTTAAAAACACTGGTCTTGTGTAAATATGTTTGCTTTGTTACTTTATTGTTTATTAATATCTAATATGCATGTACATCTATTCACCTAGTTTCATTGACAACCTGTGATATTAATCCTTATAAGACATTACAGCCTTTCATCTTGTTAATCCTTTGTAATTGTTTATCCATATTATTACTTCTCTCATCTTGTTAATTCTTAATTAATGATTAATCTGTTACATGGTGTCCAATTGTTATCTATATATTGCACCACATTTTTGTAAAATATCATTATTTGCTTGATAACGATATCTGTATGTGTATCGAAATGTAGCATGTTAATAAATTCAGAAGTGGTATATCCATATAAGTGTTTCTAATTCACCTGTGATATTGTATTGGAGAGAACTCCTTTGTTAGATTTGGTAACTTTTGTCCGATTTAATTAATTTAAAGTAGCCTAATAAAATATGTTTAAACTAATAGTTATAATAAGTTCAAATGAAATGAAATGGGGTTTAACGTCCTACTGTTCTGCTCCTATACTGGGCTAATGAAGACGGGCATACGCCATACAGTGTGCCATGGGGGAAATTTTTGCCCGGGCAGCGGCACTATCGCCTACTCTTATATCGAATTCCAACTGCCAAGGGATCTTTTACGTGCATTCCAATGTTTACACGGGACCTCGGTTTTTCGTATCATCCGATGGACTAGAAAGCTGTCCTTGTCAGGCCCTCCGTCCTGCATCACTGACAAGGGGAAACCACGTCGGAAAATCGGGATGAACTTTCTCGGCCAATGCAGGGATCGAACACCCGACCTCCAGGCTAGCGAGCCAGTGCCTTACCCACCTAGCCACCGTGGCTCCCTATAATATGTCAGCTGTTCTATAAGATATATTTTCATCGATTACATTTCCTTTTTAAAGTCGCGGTGCGTCATTTTACCACTATAGCAATCACTTGCAAACTACAATATTGTGGAAGAGGAATCCCTAATTTCAGAGATATTTAATAAGACTGCCGCCATTTTGTTTTCCGCTACAATTTCTAGATAGGTCTGTTTTAAATCTGATTGAATAACCCAACAATATTAACGTAGAGTAAATAGTGGTAAATTTGATATAACACATCGTTACTTTACTTTTGATGAATCAAATATGCCCCTTTTTATATTATTTGCTTTAATAGTATATGCTTAATTATAATAAAATTCTAATGTAAATGTCAAGGAACGGTGTTTGTTTTTATAATATTTTTGTTATTATATGATTTATGATAACAAACTTCTAATGTAAATTCCAAGAGGGATTTGAAGCAAACCTTTGATAGATACATAAGCTGAGGTCTCGTATATTCATTGGTTTACACTTTAATTATCCCTTGGTAGTTGGAATTCGATATAAGAGTAGGCCATAGTGCCACTGCCCGGCCAAAATTTCCCTCATAGCATAATGTCTCGCGTATGTCCGCCTTCATTACCCCATTCGGAGCAGAACAGTAGAATGTTAAACCACGTTTCATTTATTTGGGGTATTTAAATCATGAATTAGAAATAATTCTATATCATTTACCGTTTTTCCATTGCTGCCTACAGCTGTATCATAAGCAAATAATCATTATATGTTGTCAGTGTATTTCGAATATAATTTATATAGTTTAAGAAGAGAAATGGTCCCAATACGAAACCCTGAGGGATGCCTGGCATTAGAGTTGTTTCATGTGATGGTGACCGCCTGTTTCGGTGTACTTAAGACACTGATCATCAATACCGTAGCTTTTTTAGTTTATGTATTCGGCCTCAGTGATAAAATCGATCAAAGATTGTGGTCCTCAAACGCAGTGACAATTTCAAGAAGTTGATGACATGTTCAGTGATGTGGTCTGAAGAAGGTTTTTGGATTGAAAGAAGTTGTATAGATGTTTGAATATTATACGTTCGAGAAGTTTTCGAACGGTGCTTAATAGAGAGATTTGTCTATAGTTTGATGGAACCCATGGGTTGCCCTTTTTGAAGATGGGTATTACATTTTATATCCTCTAGTGAGCAGGACATATTCCCTCATGGATTGACTTAAAATTGAAAAGAATGGTCAAGGGGGAAATTGAATTAATAGTTTAAAGATACATTATGGGAGAACAGATAATGAGTTAGCAGTTCTCACTATAATAGTTAAAAATAGATAATGTAAAGGGAATTTGCTGAACATTTCAGTCAAATTGACCCAATCTGAACCGAGAATTTAGAGATTGAATTTTTGGCCAAGTCTCGATCATCATTACTAAAGTCGGTACGATGAAAAAAAAACATAGTCTCGATTATCCATTTTTTATTTAATCATCAATGCGCGTTGAGCAGCAGATCGGATTCAAATCCAGAAAATACCGCGGGCTAGCGATGACATTTTGAGATCATGTGATATCAATGATGTCGACGATTGACTTATAAAAATGAATCGCCCGACAGGATACGCTGGTCAGAGGCACACGAGCGAATTTGATCGCCGGCGAAAAATATTCGGCCCAAAATATCTAACATGAACGTCGCGAAGGGGCACCCGGGCGTATTTTTCTAGCGATTTTAAAAATCGCCGCGACCGTGCGAAAACATAGGCTAAGCTCGTCTGTCTCGACTTAAAAGTGCGTTGTATGTTGACAAGTAACGGCTTTAATTCATATAATGAGATGATTATTATTATTATGATTTTTTTTTCATTTAAAACTGCTGCTTATCAACTATAAATGAAAAATCTAAATATTTACCCAAATCACTCAATCAGATGTTATTTTTCGTTCCGTTAATGTCGATGACAACATTTAAAATAATGAACTGGTGTTTATTATGGTCGAATGGCTTAACGTCAAGTAGCGTGGTTTCGATTCCGTGCTTGTGCCTAACAAGGAGTAGGATCGACTGTCCAACCTCGTGGGTTTTCTTCTGGTCTTCCGGTTTCCTTCCACTGCTAGCGAATTATTGAAATAAAATTGAACCATATTGTTACCCGAAATGACCTAGTTTGTGTCGAGTGGACGTTAAACCTCAATCCTCCCTCTCTATACTCCTAATTGTCTTCTCTGCTTAAACCTGTCAATACAGGTTTAGTAAATATGGTTTACAATAGTTACCTCTACAGGTATATATATGTGAGAGAGAGAAATGGGGTTTAACGTCCACTCAACACAAACTAGGTCATTTCGGGACTAACACATGGTTCAATTTTATTTCAATAATTCGCTTGCGCGTAGGGGTCTTTAGCAGTGGGAGGAAACCGGGGGACCCGGAGAAAACCCACGAGGTTGGACAGGCGACCCTACTCCTTGTCACGTACAACCGGGGACTCGAAACCACGCCAGTTGACTCAATGACAGACCTTATGATACAGCACGCACGTGCTAACCATTCGGCCATCTAGCCCCCCAAGATATATAGGTATTATTATAATAGTTACCTCTACAGGTATATATATATATATATATATATATATCTATCTTCTATACTAATATTTGTGACTGTCGTTTGTGACTCGTGTACAGATTAATAAATGTTAATTGTGTCTTAAATATTGGATATTAAGATCCTACAGTTTCACGACACGATTACATCATCAATAGTGATTGAAATTGATGTGTCTTGATTGAATTCTATTTCGTGTTTTTGATTTCGAATATTATGGAAAAAATTGAGTTAGAGACTTATCTCCTTTAACGTCCACTCGAACAAATACATGTAGGTCATTTCCTGACTAATATATAGGTCGATACATAGGGTTCGTTAGTAATGGGGGGTATCAATAGTAGCGAGGGGTAGCCATTGAAATTAGACAGGTGACCCTTTTGTTGTGTCCGGTAGATGTTTGTTTTTAACACCACGGCACTTGACTCAATGACTGACATACTATTTGATCTAAAACGCAAGCATTAGACCACTCCTCTACCCCCAACCACCCAGCTACATACTCCACTAGTATATGATAACATTCGACTCCGCCCCAACCAGCTACATACGCCAGATGTTGCCACATGTTGGCCATAGTCTGGGTAACACTTGGCATCTATTGGCTCACTACTGATGAATAAAACTTATTTTTGTAACTGGTATCTAAGAATATCTTGTCAGTTTGTTAAAAGGTTTTAAATTTTTTGTTTTATATTCCAAACATTTGAAAAAATAATATTATGCGAGAAGCTTGCCATGTTTGGGCAATAATAAATTATTTTTAAAAGAATTCAATGAAATAAAGACAAAGTGTTAGGTATCATCCTACAAAGTAGCTAGATTTTAATTACTATAGCAGAATCTGTACTCAAGTTATACAATTTGTTGAAGATAGCTGGTCATCCGTGCAAACCTTTCAACAAAGCATATTTAACAGCCAATTTACTATCTTGAAATCTGTTTTGTCATTGGCTGAATTTTAAATTCTAAAATTCAGTGTAAAACAACTTAATAGAAGTTAGCATTAACAAGAAACTGAAGACATTGCAGTGGTATACAACTGCACATTATTTTCACAGAACTTAGTTAAAGACAAAAAGATAAGTATATTTTATTACTTTCTCTGCAATAATATTAAATTAGATAAGAATTATGTGATTTTATTATTTAGATAACTTCATTTAACTATTCTTTTGCCTTGGCATCATCAACAGAATTCAAATTAATCAACAGAGAGAAAAACAAATAAGCTTATCAAATTAGAAGAAATCATATGCCAACTATATTTTTTCCAAAAATAAGAATTATCTGACTTAACGCTTTGACACTTGCATTAACAGACCCCTAGAATATAATTTAGAAGTAAAAATGTGGTTTTTTATGTACATTTTTTGCATTTATTGCAGGTGTGATCCAACTCCACCATAAGGATGCGTGTATGGTGGAAACTAATTTCAAAAATGTTGTCAAAAACTGGTTGACTGGGGGAAGAAAAAGACAAGGGGAAAAGAGGAGGAGACAGCCACAGGAGAGGGAACAGGGGAAGGATGATATTGACTTAGACGAATAAATTTTATAATTGAAGATTTTGCTTTTGTTGTTAATGTATGTTGTTTGTGCTTCATGCAAGATACCCTTAATTTCTACCATCTAGAATACCAAATGGAAATCGGAAGAAAGTCTTGGCTGTTTCCGCTGGAAAGACTTTAAAAAGGGGAGAGGAATGCGTTTTAACGTCCATTTGACACAAACTAGGTCATTTCGGGACTAACATGGTTCAACCCTCGTGGGAGGAAAGGAAATAGAGAAAACCGAAGCGGTTGGACAGGCGAATCAAATCCTTGTCACATACAACCGG